CCCCCAAGAGTGAGCCCATTTTTTTCATCGGAAACGTTACTCTTTCTTCACCTAGAGCCTTGTGCACGATAGCGCATACCCGATGAGCGTGAATTTCGGTGGGAGAATCTTTGAGAGGGGGGAAAGAACATCCGCTTGTGACGTCGCAGATCACAGGCACCCACCACCAAAAATCGAAAACGGCAACAACATCAACAACAACAACAGCAGCAGCAGCCTGCTTTCGCGGGAGGTTGGACGGGATGCTCCCGAGCTTGTTATCTGGACCATCTCCAGGAAACCAAGGCAACGGGCATCGGAAACACTGCACGAGGAAGTGTTCTCCGAGACACGCGTGTGCCACGGTCGACGCCAGCGAAACAAACCACTCACGCACCTTCGACCCCAACGCCGCCAGGCCAGTCTTCCTCTCTCCTGACAAAAGCGACGCTCCCATCGCCAGGAAACCCTTCGACCCCGACCTGGAGTACGAGGAACCCCCCGCGCCCAAGCCGCCCGATTTCGATCCATTGTTCGAGCCCGTTTCCCCGTCCCTGCCGCTGCCGCTGCCCCTGGAACTCTTTCTCCCCCTGATCAACAACGAAGACGTCGACGAGATGTTGCCGCCGCCGCCGCTGCCGCTGGAAGACGGGAGAGCGGAGGGCTTGCTGCTGCCGCGGCCGCCGCTGGTGCCGGCTTCTTGCGTGTTCGGGGCCGTCGTGGTTGGTTCTTCGCCGGTCGCAATGACGGCCGTAACCGGTTCGGGCATGACAACATCGCCATCTGGGAAGCCCTTAGTGATGTCAGCGGCGGTGGAGTCCGCTTGTTGCGCTGCCGGACCTTGCTCCTCGACGCGTTCCTCGTCCTGCTGCTGTGGTGGGCCTTCGCTAGCATCAACCACGGGCGTTTCTACGGCCGGCAACGTTGGGGTAGGCACATCACCACGCTCCTCCGCGCTGACATCATCACCGTCAACGGTGGTACCTGCGGCGGCCGCGTCTGTTGGCGCCGCCGCCATGTCAGCTGCAACACCGTCATCATCGACGACGACAACAACGGCCGATGCTTCGGACGAGGGCACCACCGCCAACACCACCTCCTCCATCGCATCGTCGGCAGCAGGACCAACACCGGCGTCGGTGCCTCCGTCATCAGCTTGGTCTGGGCACTCCGCCGTCGCCGCGGCCACCGCCGACGCCGAAGCCCCGGCGCTAACGTTCCCCGTCGACGAGGTAGAAGAGGAAGAGAACGACCCGCCCTCCGCTGCCGCCACCGCCACCGCCGCCGCTAACTCCAAGGCCTGGTCGCCGACCACCTCTGCCTTCGCCGGCTCCCCACAATACCTCAGGCCCACAGCGTCTGCTGCCGCCGGCGCCGGTGCCGCTCTCGCCGACTCCGATGGCTTCCCCTCCCCGTCTGCGGCGACAACACCGTTAACCGTCGCCGCGGCCGCCGCCGGAGCAGCGTCGCCGGCATCGTCGGCAACGGTGCGGCCGCTCTCCGTTCGCGCTCCGAACAGGAAACGGCCCAGAGCCTGCAGCCCCCCGGTCGCCGGCTCGGTAGCCGCAGCGTCTGCTGAGGAATCCTCCTGACACGGTAGACAGACAGACAGACAGATAAGACAGCAAAGAAGATGTGTTTGTTAGTTACAGGGCAAAGAAGGTGTGTTGTTTCATCATCGACTGAGCGGAGCGTGGAGAATCGGTTCGAGTTGGTGCGGGTGGGCTTCGCGCCTGCTTAGCACCGCCATGATCGGCCTGGGGGAGGAATGGCATACTCATGCTTCGCATGCCTAAAGGGCGAGACCAGTATAACAGCCGACACACCCGTGATTTTACAACAGCTGTGCTACAGTATGTTCACCGCCTCTCCACCCGTCGTCGCGGCAGAATCCATCTCCAACCCCGTGGAGTCACCCGTCCCCTCGGCATCCCTGCTCTTCTCGCCACCCGCTTGCGGCGCCACTACTACCGCCCCGGCGGCGGCGGCGGCGGCGGCAAGGCTCTCGGCAGCAGGCGCCGCCCCGCCCTCAACGGCAACGCCGCCGCCGACCTCGACCGATTCCGAGCCAGGCCCCGATCCGGCAACGTCGTCGTCCCGCGCGCAATCACCAGCCGTGTTCTCGATGGTACTGTTGGCAGCATCAGCGGCTGTATCCCGAGCTGATGCGTCGGCCTCGTCCTTCGCCGGTTCCGTGGGGAGGACGGACGCCGCCGTCGCCGCCGCCGCTGCCACCAGCGCAGGCGCCGGCCGGTCCGGCGATGACGTCGCCGAAGACGACGACAACAGCGGCCGCCCCACGGTCCCGTGGGATAACAAGTCACCGCCACTGCCAAAGCCGTGCCTTCCTCCTGCCGGCGAGCCGCGCGCCGGCGACACCCTGCTCCGCAGCAACCTGCCCCCGGGGGGGCTCCGCAGCGCCCGCCCGCCCGCCCCCGAAATCCCCTTCGACAGCATCCACGCCGGCATCGCTAGCGGAGCTGGTGCCGGGTCGGCGGGGGTACCGTCCGCTTCCATCCCCGACGCACGCGGTGATGTTGTTGACGTTGACTCCGATGAAGGCGACGACATCCTGCTAATTCTGCCGACGGCTTCGTCAACGCCCGCGCTGGTCGCCGGTGGCGTCTGCCAGTCCTCCGATCCCGTCCGGACTCGCCGCGCTTGTTGCTGCTGGGCGCGTTGCTGCTGCTGCTGCGCCCGCAGCGCGGCCATCGGGTTGTGGAATCCTCCGTGCCCGTCGCCCTTTACGTCGAAAGCGGACTTCTCTTTTTCTCTGTGGCGGGGTTGGGTGGGCGGCATTCATTGCTGGATCGGAACTAGAGCGGTGAGCGACAGCGCCAAACGACTTCTTGGAGAACGCTATAGGTTCTGATGAATCTAGAACGCAGCAGACCGTACGGCACTAAAAAGTCGGAACCGAAACCAAAAAACCTTGAGAAACCATCGACCGTTTCACAAAAACGGGCGGTGTGCATGCATGCAAACAACAAACCACACACGCGGACAAACAACAAGGAACCCCTGTGTGGTTTCCCCTGATGACGACAACGGCGGCGGCGGCGACAACAACTACGACACCGAAGAAAACTCAAGGGCTAAAAAATAAACAGCAGAGGTTGTCCCCAACCTGCTCGCTTCCACCCGCCAGTTGGAGTTCCCTGCAAATGCGCCGGCGGGTCCCAGCCCCTTCTTGACGGTGTCAGGGGCAACGAAACCACTGCGCTCTCGGGAAGGTCTCCTGAACGTTCCAAGAGTGCGACAAAACGAAGCATCAGACAAGATAAACGGTAAAAGCAAACCCTCCGCATGAAGAGCGGCACAGACCACACAAAGGTGAGCCGTAGAGGTAAATCCGCCCCGAGAGAGCGATGCAGAAGGATGCGACAAATACAGTCGTCGATACCACCAAACTAGGAGGAAGCAAACGTGTTGACGAACGCCTATCGCGCCCAGACGGACTATCAACGCCAAGGAGCAAGAGAGCAAAAAAATGCAGGAGCAGCGCTACGAAGCTGGGTAATCTTTTTCACAACGACGGACGCCTAGAGGCGTTTGGAACATACAACTACAAAAACCACCCGCCACAACACCGACAACAGCAGCAGCACAAGCCCGCACCTTCCCCAAACAGCACCACGCAGTGAACGAAGCCCTGCAGAGCATCCGATCAAGCTTCTAGCTTCACAAAAGACGCGTGGTTTGGGGCATGATATGAAATAGCTTAACCGGACTCACCCTGCCACCAATCCTCGCTGCTTGACGGCGAAGCCGGACTTGGCCTCTACGATGTTAAGGAGCCCTCCCTCCGACTGTATTCGCGACAAACCGGATGACTTGACCGGGGAAGTCTCTCCCCCGGCCCCGGTTCCCGCCCTCACCGGCAACTGCGGCACAAAACAAACGTTACGAGAAATCACACGCGAAGAGAAAGCACGGTATTTTGACGTGGGTCGACAACGAGAGAATGGTAGCAGCATGCCTGGTGTCGGGGAGGCGGGGGACGAAGCCGCCCCGGACAAAGTGCTCACAAGCCTGGGAAACCCCTCGACGGCCCGCAGAGCACATAAAAGAGTCCAAACCCTCTTCCCCAACGCTTGCTTCCGCATACCGTACGGCAGGAAACGAAATCGGCAAGCAATATGGGGTAAACGGTGGCACCTCGCAAGCGGCCGTTACAACAACGACGCCGAAATGGAATCCCCTTGGGTGTTCCACGAAGCGGCAAAAGAAAATAACGGCGGCGTAAACTCTCCCCCCCCCCCCCCCCCNAGCGTCTGCGGTGCAAGGTGTCGTGGTACAGTAGAGCTATCTCGAAAGTAGATGGGGGGAACTTTTGTGTAGAGATGGCCGCCTTGCTTTATGTAGTGTGGGAATGAGGTTTCTTTCATTATCTTTTTTATCTCCACCCATCGGTGTTTGCCATCGGGATTGGGTTTTCGTCGCTTGGCAACGACG